TACCCATCCATGGGCACTTAATAAATGCTTATTGATTGTCTAGTAAGGTGGTGTTATGACTGATTTTGAGAACTTTAATACCCTGCAGTTGCCACTTCTGTATTTCTTTGATTCTAAGATTGGCCCTTTTTTTTTTCTTTCACAATTTAGTTTTTTAAAATCTGAAAGTATCTTATAATCAATGGTATAACATGGTTTAATTGGCAGGGTTTTGTTTTCCTTTTTTTACTTTTGGCGATGCATCTTATAAGACATTCTGTTTTAGATACGATGAACTATGGCAGTAAAAATATAGATTGATCTGTTACTTATATAATATACTAAAGGCTGTGTATTTCACATTCAAATATTTTAAGAGTATTCTTTTTCTGTTATGTGGCTTCTCCATAACCAATTTTGGTCTCTCCTCACTACCTTCCTTCACCCTGATTCCCTCACACTGATTCTACCTGTTCTTGAACCAACTGTCTTGACTGAACTCCTCTGGAAAATACTCAGAGAATTTTATTAGTAAATTAATTACCAAAATTTAACTGTGATGAAATGGAAAGAGTACACATTTTTAAAACTAAAGGCTTAGGTTCAAGTTATGGTTCTACTCCTTAAAACTATGAGTACTTAGGGATCCAGTAATTTTTCTCAGAGCTTCAAATTATACATCCAAAGAACAGAAATAATATGAATAATTTCTTCATCATAGGATTGTTAGGACAATTTGTAAAAAGAAAAAAATTGAACCAGTAAAAATATTGAATATGAAATATATATGAGAGCACTTTATAAACAATGAAGTACTGTTTGATTATAAATTTTAAGCATCAATATTAAACAAAATAGTCTTAGATGAGATTATGTGTAAATGGAAAGTTAGAAAGAGGGAGAAAGAAGGAGAAATTCAAGAATTTGCCCCCAACTAAAGAGAGTAAGTTCTGCATTTTAATTAGCACTGGAAATAATGATAGGACCCCTTAACTCACTGAATCACAAAGAGCACTGTGAAATCTGTCTCCAGAGAACTTCCAGCAATTAGAGTCTTAGTTATTTTGAACCCCAGGGCTAAATGTGTGCCAGTCTCAGAGAGCTTGTATCCTTTATTGAATTAGCAGAACCACAGCCCACAGCACCTCCGTGGCATTAAAAATAAAAGAGGTTACTTAGATTCCCAAATTCCTTTCCTATCTTTGTTCCTTCTGCTTAAGAGACAAATCGATCTGTAAATTACTGTAAGGTTTGGTCCAGAAAAAAAAATAACATAAGTATGTTTAACAGTGGATTTTGGAATCACTGTTTGACAAAGAATTTTGTCTAATGCCCCTGACTTTCAGAGAAAAACATAGTGGAGGTGGGTGGGGTGGTTGCCAACAGTTAGTACTTTCTTTCTGCATTTGTTTGTTTTAGTTTCTTGGTCTAGTCAAAGCAACCAAACCTTAATTTTTGTCTGTTTGTTGGTCCCCGAGGTTATTTATTTACCAGGCCCTATTACACGTGAAGACTTAAACTAAAATGGAATTTGCACATCAACATACAACAGCTTTACCTTCCACAGAAAGAGAACTATAGGTATAAGCTAATGCCCACTGGGACAAACACTACAAATCATAATAGTAATTGTGGAAAGGGTCCCACTCTCTGGTTCCAGATATTCATGAAGGGGAAATGATACAAAATCAAGGAACCAAATAGGATTAGTCACATACTTATTTCCATAGCCAGGATGCTTTTACTGCCATAAAAAGATTTCAAATATTTTCATCTTGAAATTTCATCTACAATTGACCAATGAGAAATGAACTCCATGGACAAACATAGGTACCGTTACATAAAAACCAAAAGCGCTTTAGGTTTACACTAGTTAAGATATTTGTGTGCATTTCAGCATTCTCTAATACTTTCATTATTGGCTTTCACAGTTTCAAGAACATAATAGTAAAAAATAAATGTCATTGCGGTTTTTTTCAAAACACATGGTACTTCAATGGTACTTACAATAGTACCACTTAATGTAAATTCCATTGCTATAGTGAGTGGAAAACACAGACTGTTTTTAAAAGGTAATGTATGTGAGTGTATGTGTGTGTTGCTGTTTTTGAGGATAGGGATACTTTCAAGAGGCAAGTGTAAAGAACAGAAAGAGTTGCGGTATTAAAGGCACTTGCAGGTGAAAAAGGGAGTTGAAGAAGATGGAATTTGGTCATTACTTGATAATCATATTTCCTATACTGTCTCTGGCAATGGAGCGTCTTCCAATTTCTCATTTCAATCACTTTTTTAAAAGATTTTATTTATTTGTCAGAGAGAGAGAGAGCACAAGCAGGGGGAGCATCAGGGAAAGGGAGAAGCAGGCTTCCCGCTAAGCAGGGAGCCTGATGTGGGACTTGATCCCAGGACCCTGGGATTATGACCTGAGCCGAAGGCAGACACTTAAACGACTGAGCCACCCAGGTGCCCCTCAGTCACTTGATTTCCAAAGACCAAAAGTTGTAACTCTAACATGAACATTTTCCCATCATTAAATGGGATATATACTGGGATTTAAAGTTTTTACATACTGAGATTTAAAATTTTTCCCATCTCAATTTATTCACAATAACAGCAAACATTGACATAAGAGTGACTTGGTATTAAGTACTATACTAAGTGCTTTACATATATTAACTAATTAACATGTTAATACATTTTAGCATAATGGTAAGAATCATACATTAAGCTATATTAGCTTATTTCGGTTCATGGAAGCACCATTTTTCTAGATGTTTAGGCTAAGAAATATTGATGTAATTCTAGACTCTTCTTTTTCCTCTCCCACTTTGTCTCTTATCAGCCCAGAGATCCTATTGGCTGTATTCTCAATAAAGATCCTGAATCCGCCCAGTTCTTAGCACCTGCACCGCTCCCTCCTGGGTCCAAACTCCATCGTCTTTTGACTACCATTGCAGTCTAACTAGGACCTTCTCCTTACTGGTCTCTTTCCCTTGCTTTTGCTCTCTCCTGCAAAACCTCCCAACTCCCTGGTCCCCCCCACTTCCTATTCCACTCCTAGCCAGCCAGCTTTCGGTAAGACAGCTGAGCTGGAGGAATATGCTAAGACATACATCTCATTCTTTCACTCCTGTGCCTAACCCATTCAGGGGCTCCTGTTTCTTCTCAGAAGCTGAAGTTGCCATCACAGCGTCCAGGGCCTCATCTGATCACTGATCACCCCCCTGCATGGGGGCAAGTGCACACCACACACATACACACCTATTGCCGATAATCTCCTCCTTGTTCACTCCACTTCAACTACACTGGTCCCTTGAACCTACCAGACATGCTTCTTTCTCAAGGTTTTTGCAAACACTGTTCCCTCGGCTTTCCAGGCCCCCCCCCCCCATAGAGACTGATGCTGCCAGTACCCTCATTTTCTTTAGTCTGTTTTCACAAGTTGACTTTGCAAATGTGACCTTCCCTGGCCATCCTACCTACAATTTTCAAATCCTGCCTGTTCCTCAACAGCTCATATCCCCCCACTTCTCTTCCCTCTTGTTTTTTTTATCCTTAGCTCTTATCACTAACACATATATGTGTATTATGTTTATTATGCTAACTGGAATGCAAACTCTATGAAGAAGGAACTTTTGTCTTTTTTTGATAACTTGTTTGATAGCTCATATCAAGAGCAGAGCCTGGCATGTAATACGTCCTAAATAAATATTTGTTGAATATATCTTCAGATCAACCCTGTGCATTAGGTACAATTATTACCCCCATTTTACAAATGAGAAAGTTAAGGCACAGAAAGATTAAGAAATTTGCCTAAGGTCAAATTAGCTTAGCAAATGTCAGAGCCACAATTCAAACCTAAGGCCCTGGCTCTGGGGTCTGGGTTCAAACCACTCTATGGTTCTTATTTACATGACTGAGTAAATTAATTGGAAAAGTAGAACTATATATAGATTCATCTATTTGCTGGGATTTTCCTCAATATGCTTTCCTTCCAGTTAAAGGGAAAATTGACACAGCAAAGCCTCTTTACTCCATCACTTGTGGATTTTTTTTTCTTAAAAGAAGGTAAAAGTTTTTACCATTGAAAAATACAAAAACAAATGCCCCCAATCCCACCTGTGTTGACATTCAAACAGTAGTAATAAAGTAACAAATGGGCAATGGTTAAAACAAATGTTAGCACTATGGAAAAGTAGAAAATGAAAACATGTATTGAATGCCTCCTGTGCTTTGTAAAACCTAAGCCCTGGGACTACGTATGTGGCAATACGGGTAGAATGTAACGAGAGAGACAGATACATACACAGTTATAATCATACACTTCTCTAAGTGTCACAGTAAGGTTATATATAATTCTGAATTGGAATTTAGAAGAGGAAACACCAAATAGAGATCTGCAGAAAGCAGAAAGCAGGGCCTTGGAGAGTGAGTTGTGGGGCAGATATGTAAACAGTGAGTGGAAGGGAATTAAGTGTCTCAAAAGTGAAGACAGGGATGCATGGCTGGCTCAGTCAGTAGAACATGTGACTCTTGATCTTGGGGTCATGAGTTTGAGCCCCACATTGGGCACAGAGCTTACTTTAAAAAAAAAGAAGACACTTTTTTTGAAAGAGGATGTTGAGGAATACCAACAAATAAATGTGCCTTAGAGGATGAGACTAAGAATATTTTAAAATAACATTCCATATGCTACAGAATGGAAATTATAGGCAAATGAGTTATCTGAGCAAAAGGTACACACATTTTGAATTTAATTTCTAAGAGAATGTCTTTACTTATCCAAATGCATCATATGGAAAATTGTCAATTTCATCTATTCAGGCTACTTTAATCTATTTTTTCATAGGATTCAGGTTGCAGGGTACTGACAAACAAGAACAAGAAATTTTATTCTCTAAACGGTTATGTTTGCTTAATATGTTAGGCCAGTTCCAACATCTTATATGTAAAAGGGCAAAGGAAAAAAAAAGGCAGTTTATCCCAAGTCTGTTCAGTGTTTTTTGTCCTTGTGTCCCCACCTCATTCCTCTGGGAAAGTCAGGTTTCCAGCTGATCATTTCTCTGATTTGACAAGGTCACTATGAACTTCCTGTCATCCAAAATGTTGGCAGTTTGATCTTGCTTAGTGACAGACTGCTTGGTCACTCAGGTCCTCCTTCCAAAAAAGGGCACAGTGCTCTTACAGAGTGGTAACTTTATCCACATGAACAGCTAAAAGAAGAAATAAGATAATTTGATAATAAATGTTAAAAAGAAAATAATGATCACATGAGATTGCAGTGGGGTAGGGCAGTGGATATTGATGGGGGCATTTATGAGAAGGTATCATTAAAGTTGAAACCCAAATGATGAGAAGCCATACACGGACCCAGGAGAGTAGCTAACCATGTAGAGAGATGACAGTAAGTGCAAAGGTTGGGGGGTGAAAAGTTTGGTTCAAGGAACACAAAGAATACCAGTATGACTGAGGAGAGTAGTAATGATGACAAAATGTAGTCTCAGAGTTAGCCAGTGACTTGATGTACACTCATAATTAGCCTTCATTTCTGCCTGTGAGCACTGGAATTGTTACTCCTCTTTACTTGTGTCACAATTATAAATCTACTATTTCTGATAGAGAATTACTTGAATTTGCTCTGCACTGCAGGATTTATAAAGACCTTTAACAGGGACGCCTGGGTGGCTCAGTTGGTTGGGTGTCTGCCTTCGGCTCAGGTCACGATCTCAGGGTCTTGGGATCGAGTCCCGCGTTGGGCTCCCTGCTCAGCCGGGAACCTGCTTCTCCCTTTGCATGCCTCTCCCCCTGCGTGTGCGCTCTCTCTCTGTCAAATAAATAAATAAAATCTTTAAAAAAACAAGACCTTTAACACACATCCTAATTGCACATAAAGTTCCGTAACACCCTCATGAAGTAGGCAGGACTAACGTCATTTCCATTTTACAGGTGAGGAAAAGATAGTATGTAAATGTTTCCTGACTTGCTGGAGAGGCCTACAATGCCCCATCCCCACCACACACACCCTCGTCCTGATTCCCCATGCTTCATCAAAATTGCCAAAAGTCAAAACGTCTTTTAGCCAGATTTGAAATGAGCTTAGGGCTTCAGTATAACTATCAGTGCCAAAAAAAGAAAAACAAAAAGAGCTGGTAAGATGAATAAATTCACTCTAACAGCACGTGAGTGTAGAGCAAGGATCTACACACTCTCTGTTTAGCCACATCACTGATTCTACTAGATGGCTAGTTGACACATCATATTATGTTCCCTGTCAAATATGAGTTTTAAATAGTTCATTCTGGAACAGGAATTTGAAGAAAATAGCACAGTCAATTAGTCCAGTGAGAGATGCTGACAACCTAAACTGGAGTTAATCACAGGTTAGGTGTCCTAACCTCCCCCACCTTGGTCACCAAGGTAATTCTGCACTGTGTCATCAATGTTTCCCTAGCTTGCTGAAATGATGTCGCATGTGACACTTAAAATTTTTTTGAGATTTAACTATATTCTTCTATTTTTCATATGCTTACTTATCATGAAAGGATTTAGATTATTTGTAAGTTTATTATAGGAATTAGTTATATTTAATGCATACATATCTTTTTCTTTTCTATATGCTTGAAATTTGCTCTTTTAAGTTCATATCTTTTCAAATGCTAATCTATCTATAATTTTCAGGATTAAAAATTCTTTTCTATGTTCTAAATTCTTGCTCTGTTCAAGGTTTTATTTGGGTGTGTGTGTGTATGTGTGTGTTACCACATAACTTCTTACAAGAAAAAAAATTTTAATTGAAAAATCAATCTAGACATATGAGAAATAGCTCAGGATTGAAGCTATCAAGCTTATTTTTAAAGGCAATCAGGATTATGGAGTTAACCACGTTTCTGTTATTTAGTTTTCAAAATTAAATTAAGTAGAGGTATGACATTTACTGTCTCAGACTATTAACTAAAAAGACCTTTCTAATTTTTTTAAATATTTTATTTATTTATTTATTTATTGGGGGAGAGAGAGAGTGTGCAGGGGGAGGGGCAGAGAGAAAGGGAGACAGAGAGAGAATCCCAAGCAGAGTCTGCTCTAAGCGCAGAGCTGGACATGGGGCTCAAGATCTCATGACCCTGAGATCATGACCTGAGCCGAAATCAAGAGTCAGACACTTAACTACTTTAAAAGTATCTAATTTGGGGGCACCTGAGTGGCTTAGTCGGTTAAGTGTGGACTCTTGATTTCAGCTCAGGTCAGGATCCCAGGGTGCTGAGATCAAGATCTGCATAGGGCTCCATGCTCAGAGGGGAGTCTGCTTGTCCCTCTCCCTCCCTCTATGCCCCTCTCCCTGCTCTCTCTCAAATAAAAATAAATAAATAAAGTATCTAATTTTCTTCTTTTTTAAAAAACTCTTACACATTTATTAAACTTGCGATAGTATTTAAGAATGGTTTTTTCCCTCCACTTTTTCTTCCAGGTCTCAAAGCTGATCTCCTGATTAGAACATTGTAGATTCTTGTAATCAAAAAACAACCACCACCACCACCAAGTCCTAACCTTTACAAAAAGATCTCATAGTTATTATTCACTAGTGTTATGATACTTTTCTCAGTTTCAAACACACTAAATAAATACTGTATAATTTTTAAAATCCTTTAGAACACTTACAGTTTCTAATTTTCCTCATATAAATATTTCAAACCAATTTTTTTTTACTAGGGTAATACAGCACATAGAATTCAAACCAAGTTTTAAATTCATATGATTAACATATTTTAAATGCAACATGATGTTAATGTGTTCAATAACTTTTTTAAAGGGCTAGCACACATTTGCTTTTATCATTTTAAAATTGCAAATCCTGAAAAACATAAAATGCTGAAACTCTTTGTCTTCTTTATATCTTGACTCTTTTCTCCAGATAGTTCTCTGTCATGTTATCAACAACATGTACCTGTTATGCAAACAACTGAAATCAAGGCATCTCTGATAAAGCATGTCTTGTTAAGCAAAATTGGATCAGAGCACATGTAGAAAGGGAAAAAATCAGAATATAAAAAGATGGTATTTCAAAAGAAAACTTGGTTTCTCATACATTTCTTAAGGTTTATATTCCAGTGCTGGTACATAAGCAAGAGAGCGGTCCTGAATTACTAGCTTCTGGCATTTTGAAAGAAGAGTAGCCTTCAGCATGTTTTAAACTTCCATTGCATTCCTTGCTCTTCTGAAGTGTACTTTTTACTATTGAGAATCTGCAGCAAAAATAGTGAATAGAGATTACTGTTTTATATTGGAAACATTAAATGCTACAATAAGGAAAACTGGCTTTTTGAAACAGAAAAAGATAGAACAGTAGGTATATGGTGGTAAATCCATGGTACAATGAGATATTCTATATTTGTGTTTTGCATCAACTCTACTATTGTGTGATTTACTACTCTTGAATTAATGTACAGATGAATGATGATGACATCATCCAAATATAAAGATGACCAAAATGATAAAGGTATCAAACCCCAATGCTTTAAGAACATCTGCTTTCCACTTCTCCCCTGCAGCCAAGAAACAATCACACTGATACTTAGTTCCTCCAGTTCTAGCAGGGAGCTTATTTGCTGCCTTTCAGAGATGCCAACCTCATGCCGCTTAGTAACAAAGAAAATGAATCTGAAAAGACCACCAGTGCTGGTACAGTTCATATCTTGAAGGAATCAGCATTTAGGCAAGCCCTAATGCTTTTGCCATCACAGGATATAGGAGGTTGGAGTCACAGGGGATATGTATTACATTTAGGATTTCCCATACTACTATTACTCAGAGTAACTTATTATAAGGAATTCCTAACTGGACTCCTAACCTTTCTTCCTTCTCCTTGCCCTTCCAACCTATTATCCACACTGTCATCTTAAGGATCTTTCTGAAACATAGAACTCATTGGTTCTCTCTTAAAAACCCTCAAAAGATTTACCATTGCCTGCTACATATATTCCAGACTCCTTATCATGGCACACATAGTCTTTTGTGGTCTGGAACCTATTTTCCTACCATCTCTTGTGTTCTATATCCTATTTTGGGAATGCTTATCCATTGGATTGTTGCAAGAGTTCAATGAGAAAATGTATGTAGAGTACTTACTAGTAACTAGTATTTACTGAACACTTACCATCTTAGCAGATTTCAAGGACTGGGCTGGGTGCTTATGTGTATTCTCCCACATAATCTTCACATAACCCCATGAGGTGTAGATACTTTTATAATCTCCATTCTCTAAACAAAGAAATAGATTTTGAGAGGTCAGGCAACTTGCCCAAGGTCACCCCTATAGACAGAAATGGAGTTGTAATTTTATCTATCCAACTCCCAAACTGGTGCTTTTATAGACTTGACTGCTGCCTGACATATTGCCAGGTGCACAATTCAATTTGATTAAATATTCCTTTTTAAAAAACCATTACAATAAAACTTACAGTATCTGGAAAATTGCGTTCTTTTTCTTGCTTCCATTGCCCACAGGGTTAACTGATAAACTACACCTTTGACTTTTTCTAGGTGCCCCTAGCACCTCTTTTCTGTCCTCTTTCGTCTTCACACTCCCCATACTGTAGTGTAATAATTTCTTTAAATATCTATTTTCTCTGATCTGTTGGGAGTTCCTTGGGTGTAGACACCATATCTTCATTGTCTTTGTATTCTCAGAGCTGAGCATAATGTGCAGCACCCAACAAATGTTGAACAGATAAAGAAGTGATGCAAACTCTGAACAGAATTTCAAAATATGTGGGGCTTTGCTCTTTCTCAAAAATGAAGAATTCCTCTTTCCATTCACTGTGTAATTGCCCTAACCCTTCAAGTAACACTCAATCAGATTTTATGAAGGAGCACAATCAGACTTATAGAGGTTAGAGGGGGAGAACAGGAGATAAAATTGCCCCCTTTTTCTAATCATTTCCCTCCATAAAATTGTGGGATTTTGTTACCAAAGGAGAGGAGATCAATATTTAGAAATAATTCTTTTAAAATTTAGAATTTAAATTATCTTAAAAGTTTAAATTCTCTTTTAAAAAACGTAATAGTTATGCTTCATGCTAAGTTTGGTAAGACTCATCTTAGGCTTTTCCCCTCCTGATCCTTTTTACTTTTTCCAGAGTTATACCTACATTCATAGCATTTCCGAGAGGTTAGTGAAGTTAGGCAACACTCCAAAATTCTCACATCTGAGAGCATAAGAGAGATCAACTGATAGGCACATGGTCATTGAGTGAGTCAGTGCAAGTCCCTGGAACAGCGCTTGAAGCTTCTGACTACCAGTCCTGGGTTCTGTTTAGCCAACTACTACCGTGTCCCCTGAGGAACTGGGTAAAAATAGAGGATGGAGCAGTTAGCAAAGTAAATCATTGTCATTGCTAGTGTTCATATTCCATTTGTCCATGTTTAATAGACTAATAGTTTAAACTCATGAATGTTTATGTTCTGTTGGTTAGTATGTAATTGTATGTCAAGAATACCAACACAGAAATAATTCTAGAATTTATATTCTCCCTCAAAATATAGAGTGCACATATATCAGCATAAACACATGTGTTAAATTATAAAATAAATAATTTTCATTGAGTATCATTATTCTTTATGAAGAGGAGGGCAAACATTATTTTTAATAAACTTCTGTTTAAACTTGTGTAGCAGGATCCTCCATTCCTTAGAGATTTAACAACTATAAGGTCTAAAGCATATATGATCTGAATACAATAGGATTTATTTACAAATTATAATCCCATGTCTTAAGGGAGTGAAACTCCCTGCCTCTATCTATGAATTTGAGGGTGAGCCTTAAAATCTCACCTAGTTGACCTCCTTTGTCTCCTTTTTGTATCAGGAAATGTTGGCTTAGCTTTCTCTGCAGAGAAAGAAGTCAGCTAATATCTGGGTTTAGTTCCTTGCTTGGCTACCTGCCAGCTTTGCATCAGTGGGCAAGTCATGGAGCCTCCTTTCCCTCTTCTGTCTACATCGACAGCATGGGGATAATGTTATTCTCCTTCCCCACAAGATTGTTGCAAAGATTAATGACATATGTATAAACATGGGCTTAAATGAGAGAATCTTGGAACTGAAACGTTCCTTTCCAAGGTGAATCTACCTCACCATTTCAGCTAAGAAAACTGAGATTCAGGAATGGTAAATGCTCTGCCCAAGATCATTTAGCCAGAGTCATACATCTGAGGCTAGAAACCAAATCTTTTGCTTGAGTGTACCTTGTTTTTGTTTTTGTTGTTGTTTTTTTTTTCTTCTCTTGATAGGCACAGCAGAACTGATATTCTCATAGGAGGAATATAAAGACTATGATAGAATGATCTGAAAGAGGAAGTAGGCTTTTTACACCAAGTAACATGACAGCAGATGAGAAAAGAAAAGAGGAAGGTACAAGGAAGAATATTTACTGGAGGGTTCATAGCATGCCAGACATACATTAAAAAGCAGAAACTTTTAATTACCTGATCTGTATTACACAGTTAAAATATCTACTAACGATACTTTTAAATGCACAGGATTAGCAGAAGCACATTCCTTCCGTTTCCTGTTTCTAGTACTCTTCTAATTCTAGGACTTCACAGGTCTAAACAATAAGCAGCAAATCCCTGCATTAGGCTCTGTTGCCACCTGTGCTGGCTGGGGGTGGAGGGGGCAGTGAGGACGTTCAAGGGGGTTAAACCGAGCAGAAGAGTAGCTGCTTAGATTAGAGTACTGGTGAAAGCCCTCACTCACAAATGACTCCTCAGTGCTTTCCAATCTTAGAGGTTGGACTGGATTTACAAGTCATCTTGCAGATACCCTCCTATAGTGATATTTACATCCCCATAAATTACTTCAGTGACAATAATTCTACATTTCTTCTCTCATCCTATCAGCTTTGATTGGTGGTAGAAAGACAGAAGAGAGTGTAACTGAGAGCTTAAAGCCCTTAGGAGAGGGTAGGCCTTGATAGAATTTGAGTAGTAGATTCCAAAGGACATTAAGTGCCAGGGGTCCAGAAAAGCTCATTTAAAAACATGTGTGTGTGTGTGTGTGTGAGAGAGAGAGAGAGAGAAAAGAGTGAGAGAAGGAGGTAGGGAGGGAAATGTCAAAAACAGCCTTTGGTTGCTTTGCTTTTTTGCTTAGTGCTATAGAGGTAACGAGTTAAAATACAAGATATGATACTACCCTTGTTTCCATGCTGTAGGACTTGATGTTGAATGCTGTATCTCATGGGTGCTAGGAATAACAAGTCCAGGTATAGCCTAGGATTAGCAGGCACCATAATCTACAACAATGGAAAGATGACAGAGCTGGAAACCAAGAACCTAAATTCAAGCTCCTACTCTAATGGTGAGCAATTGCATTTGTCTGTGAGTGAAGACCCCCTGATTACAGTCACATAGAGCTCTATTTTTCTCTTGTGGAAGAAATCTAGAAGTAGGCAATTACTGGTATAAATTCAGGATGTCCAGTCTCTTTAAAATTTTCTTCACCCTTTCTTCTTGGTTCAAAGAAGCTATAGCTCTGGCCATCACATCCATCTTCCGACAGGAGAAAGGTAGGAAGGAGTGGTACCTGTATCATTGAAGCAGAAAGTTTCCCAGAAGCCTCTAGGAGACTTCAGCTCATGTCTATGTGTCCAGAACTGTGTCACAGGGCTATCTGGAAAAAGAAAGTGAAAAAAGAGCTTTTTTTTTTTTTTTGCTAAATATATTGTTATTTCAAATAGAATCAGGAAGGAAGAAGGGAAGAATGGATATTAGATAGTTAGCAGCTCTTCCTATAATCACTAAGTAACTATATAACTTCAGAAAAGTTATTTATTTGCTCTGCCTATATCATTTTCTAATGTATAAGATGGATATCATGAATATCAGCTGTATCTTAGCTCCCTGTCCCCCACTTCCCAGCATTGATGGAGGGAAAATAAATGAGGGTTTTAGCAAATTGAAAATCTAAAAGTAGTAGATAAAGGTAGCTTTATTAAGAAGGTAATAGAAAGGAAGCGGTTGTTTGTATTAGAAGAAGAAGAAAGAGAATACATACCTTTCTGTTTCTCTAGTCATTAGTGAGAGTAAAATAAGCACAAATTAACTAAAAGTCCCTTTGGGCATCGTAAAGATATACAAATAGATAATAAGAACTTAACCTTAAAATATACCAACTGCAAATTATTCTCGTGGTTCATGAGCTGTATGAACTCTTGCCATTTGACCATAGTGCAACCCATGTGTGGTGTCAGAGGATCTTGAAAGTAAACCAAATGATGTAACTCTCATTATTTTTAAAATTTAAGATTATGAGAACTTCAGACTTATCTGGTGAAAAACATTTGTCCTTTGCCAGGCTGTGTTCTATGTTGAAATGTATTTTCCAGTAGATTAATGTGTTAAAATTTTTGTTTCAAGATCTATTACTATGTAACCAAATTTAGAATTTAAGTTAAAAGCCAGAGATCAGCTATCTAGTATCCTGGAGCCATCCATATAATAACTTTCTCATAAATCCAGATCCAGAAACAGCCAAATAGTTTATCAATTAAACATATCAGGAGCAACAGAACTCCAAAGCAACACTAGTAAACTGTCTCTTAAGAGTGAGGGCAGACATAAATTAGTAAGGCATTTAATTCTTCTAAAGATTTGAGACTACTACGTAGAGGTATTTTGTTTTTAACCTACTGAGCCATTTTCTTTATCTCAGTAGCTACCATATGACTGTGAAGCACAGTGAATAGGGGTAGAGACTGATAGGCCTCTTGCTTCTGTATGGATCATGGCTGCACCAATATTCAGTAAATGCTTAGGACAGTTAAATGGGCATTGCTGAAAATAATCTGTAGCATTCTCTTCAAAATAAGATTATTTGGAGAATTTTCTTCTGGCCTTTTGCTGTATGAAGTGGGACCTGACCTCATTTGTGAAGCCTAGAAAAATACACCATGGAGTCAACAGAGCACAGAAGTTGCTTCTGGATCAAGGGAAGTGGTTATCAGGCATGGAAATCATTGGAAAAGGAGAAAATACTGACTAAATATTTCAAATACTGGTTCAGTAGTGAAAGATAGGCAAGATGAGTGTGCGAGTGGGAAGCGATGAGGGGCAGAAAGGAGAACTGGAAGACTGGAAATGTTTGAAATTCGTTAGACTAGAGTCTGCACGTACACAATTCCAGCCTGTAGCTTCATACAGTGATGCTTGCTGGCATTTTGTAAGGATGGTAAACAGCCATTGCTTTTCTGTGTATGGATGGAACAT